ACACCGAGACTGTTATAAATGTGTGATGAATAATTGATCAGGATAAAATTACCATGGTCTTTTTGAGGAAGAATTTTTTTTTTCTTTTTTGGTCCGCACAATTAAACAGTATTATAGTGATTTTTTTTTTTTTACTTGAGTGAGAATTACGACTGATTTCGGTCTGTGTTCTGAGTCATCGAAGGCCTTCTTGTGTTTGCTGCTTGACACAGATTGTTCGTTTGACCTTAACATTGAATATAAAAATTCTACACACCCATGTCCAACTGGCAACTTTTTGTGCTATTAAATAAAAACAAATAAAGACAGTAAGTTTCATTTTAACTTAACTTTTAACTTTTTCCACCACTAATGTGACCTACAAGCTGTGAAACACAATGTGCTCAGAATGTGCTGAGACTGAACAAGTCACATTTCAACTCATGTTAAATGACAGTCAGCGCACAGTTGCCACCATTTGAAGTGCGTCAATGTCAATCTTGGGTTAGCTTAGCATTTAGCATGGATTGGAGCTTATTCGCTGCTACGAAGGTAGCAAACCGACTTAGGAGTGACTCCGCAACATGTTTAGCTGCAGCGGTAGCCAGCCAAAAGCACGTTGTTAGCTGCTGCGCCGTAAGTAGCGCAGAGCTGCTGGAGCTTCGTTGCCACACTTGACCGTGTGCCCCTGGCTGAGCATAGCTTTTCGGAACCAGTTGAATTTCAGTTTTGCTATTCACTTGATGAGTCGCGAAATGCAAAGTTTGCTTTGCAAACTGTGATGCGCAACTACTTATTTCGAGACTTGTGTTAGCTTAGCAGCTGTGATCGTTTTAGCTTTTCTCATTTGAAACGTGACCCAACTAAATGGGAAAATGTAAACTCACTCTGTATCAATCTGCTGAAACAAAACCTGCGTTTTTCTTGCTACGATGCTTTATGTTGGCCTCCAAATGGTTAGCATGTTAGCATTCGACAATTCTCCAAGAGTTCTCAGAAGAGAGTTCCTTCTGGAGCGTCTTTTTTTTTTGTTGTCGCTGCTACATTGTGCCTTTTTGTTGTCTTGTCTCCGGGCAGAAGCAGTGTGTCATAGCTGCATGGCTTTAAAAAAAAAAGTTTTTGGGGCTTATTATCACAACAACACCGGCCGTCTCATGAGATTTAGAAGGCCGAGCGAGGCACCACGGGACCGGCAGTGCAAAAGATCACAGACCTCAGTTAATGCCACAGGGAAGAAGGAGCGCCCCCCCCCCCCCACCCCTTATCCCACCCCCCAACTCCGTGTTCCATCATGTCCTCAGAGCTGATGTGTGAGGCGAGGAGATGCTTCCTACACTCAGGAATACCAGTCAGCCTGCTGGCTTGTCTTGCTGTTTCGATACGGTGTCAGTGCATCGTCTCGCTGGATGTTAGCGTAGCAACTGTTAGCACGATCACACTTCATCAGTTCTCTTTGCATAAAGGTCCCAACAAAAGGGCAAGATAGGTGATTCTTATCAATACTATGTCTCCCAGCGAGTTCTCCGCTCAGTTTGCTTATTTGCTCTATGTTAGCATAGTCAGATGTTAGCATGTTAGCACTGCAAAATAACACAGCCTTTGCCATTCCTTCGTTTGTCTATTTATTTATTTATCGAATCACTGCAATTAATTTCATTTCGTTTTGTCACTTTTTTCTCATCCTTACCCTGCCAAAAGTTCATGATTTCCCTTGACACCGCTATTTTATTTTATTTTATTTTTTTATTGATAAAAGTTTTCATTTATTTTAATTGATTGTTTTATTTTTACAATTATTTGATATTTGTTCTTATTTTATTTTATTCACAGCTCTATTTTTTATTATATATATATATTTATCTATTTTTTATGGCGAATGAGTTCATTACATATTTTATGTCTGCACAATAATTCATCAGAATTTTTGGGGTCTTTTTTTCCCCCACATTTGCTCAACAATCTCATCTTTGCCACTGATTTTCCTCACCGGTTCTTCAGTCAACATCAAGGGCCGCTTGATGAGGGCCTCGCCACAGGTTGACACAGTCAGCGCGCAGCCGCTTTTCCTCCTCTCCAATGACCTCCACGAGGATTCGTGCGGGCAGGCGGGTGGCTGAGAAGTGTGCGAGGTGGGCAGAGGGGCGGTGGGCTTCCTCCACCTAATATGCTGTCTGGCCGCGGGGCCTGTGGGAGCGCGCTTGGATTATTATGTTAATGCGTGTGCCTCCTGCCCTCTGCTCGGTCCCAGCTGGCCCGGCTGTCGTTAGGAAGTGCTTTGCTCTGACAGAGGAGTAATATGCTCCGTGATTGAGGGGGGCCAAAAGATCGAGCTCCACAAGAGCCGCCGATAAGCATATGATAAAAGTGCCATTGTGTGCCGATGCCTCAGACACACAGTGGATGACTGAGCAATTCCTATGGATTTCGCCATTGCATATGGATGAGGGGTTTTTGTGACACCCCCCTCCCCCCCTCCCGTTTAATTGCCCATAGCATTACGGCTAGGCTTTATTGTACTTTTATTGCGTCGACTCTCTCATGATGTGCCCGCCGCGGTCGACTCGTAAATATGACGGCCGCACAACAGCGCAGATTCAAGATTCATTTATTCGGTTGTTGTTTAAGAGGAGCAACAGGGGTGAAACTTAGAAAATCAGTCTCCGCCTGTTTAGGTCTAAATTCCAAATGCAAAAGTCAAATCGACATTCAAGTCGGAATGTATTAAATGCCATTTCAAATCATTTCAATCAATATTGATTTGAAATGCAGCAATGCCTTGGGATGCGAGTGACCTGACATACTGTTCTAGTTTGTGTGCGGTACAAGCCATTGATGGGTCAATTTTTTTTTTTGCTTTGACTTGCAACTGCAAACTCCAGATATGATCGCTTCGATGGTGTCAGATGACTCAACTCGCTTCACAACAGGTAGCGATTTGGCAGCTGTAATCAGGAAAAAAAAATCTTCAAAAAAGAGGCTTCAAGCTGTCGTTTGCCGTCAAAGTAAACATAAAACTAAGAGTGGTGCATTTCAAACGACGACTAACAATTCACATCGACACATCACAATACTTACAGGGACATGTTCTTTATCCTCTGTGAAAAAAACCTCCGACTAATATCACTGCCGTACTGAGAAGCTGAGAGAGGAACTGAGAGAGGAGCTGAGTTTCCACGCCAGAATAAGGACCACACTGTGCATTGAAGATACACGGACATGTTCTTTATCCTCTGTGAAAAAAACCCCAACTAACATCACTGCCGTACTGAGAAGCTGAGAGAGGAGCTGAGTCTCCACGCCAGAATAAGGACCACACTGTGCATTGAAGGAGAAAGAATGACAGAAACTGTTCATTTGTTTTCAAAATCTATTCAATTATGCCATATGTATGTTGTTTTAAAATAAATATTACATGGTATATTAAACTATAGGTTCAGTTGTTTTCAAAATCTATTTAATTATGCCATATGTATGTTTTTTAAAATAAATATTACATGGTATATTAAACTATATACTACCTCATTATAACATGTATTCCAATGGGAAATAATAATTTAAGATATAATAATGTAAGAAACACGTGGAATGTTGTTTTTCTCAAAAGTAAATGTTCTTTTTTTTTTTTTTTGATGTAAGAAGTTTCAGTGTTTTAAAAAAAAAAACGTTTGAAACACAGTTGAAAGAGACGTTCATTTCCCGTTTAGCACCCGTCCTCTTTCTTTCTTTGCCTTCACCTCAAAACAGCACCCTGACGTTTAGTTTGCTATTTACCCTCCAATTACGAGGAGGGGCCCTCCACTCCCCGCACGAGAGGAAAGGACGCCTCACAAAAGGCTCCTCGTCTTAATCCGACCGGACGTGAAAGCGAGTCAAGAGTGAGTTGATGGAGATGCGATTGCACTTGATTAAAACCCCCGACAAAACCTGGTGAATAGATGGAGGGGGGTTGTTTGGGGAGGGGGGGCCGGGAGAAGGGCTTTTGCTAACACAAAGCTAGCGGCACGCTCTTGAGGACTGGAGATGAAAAACGAGAAAGGGAGCGATCGTCTCTGTTTGCCTGACATATTTACACAATTACGTGCAGGAGGCAAAGCAACGAAACCTGCTCTCTTTCTCTTCGCCAAGTTGTTATTTTTTCATATAAAAAAAGGTGCAAATAACTTCCATGCCGTTAAAAAAAAAAAAAA